ATGAAGAACGCCCTTTGAGAAAATGCAGAAATGAAATTGGAAGGCACCCTTTTCTTGGAAACGTCTTCATACGTATACCTTGGACGTTCGATGAGCAGCGAGCAGCATGAGCCTTCGCCCTTCGTGCCTCTGAAGGAAGCCACCGAACAACTGACGGACCCGGAGCTTCGTGCCCACCTGTTCGACTCAACCGTTTTCCCAGCGCTCTGCTACGCCGCTGAGACTTGGCCCGACACTGTAGCCACGTCTCAAAGCTCTAAGGACCACCTATAGGGCGCTAGAGCGCAGTCTTCAAAGATGAGCCGACGCAAACAACATATTGTCGGACTTCGCAGTACGGACATGAGAAGAGTGTCCCCTCTTCGCGACTCAGCGGAATACGTAACGAAAGCGAAGCATCGATGGGCCGGTCACATCATGACTTATAATAAGCCGCTTAATCTGAGGCTGTGTGGAGTTTGTCCGTTACGAAAAAACAGTAAGGAATGATTTACATTGCTCTGAAGTATGTGAGAGTAGCACGACAGGGGAGGTTCATTTTCATTTGGGATTGCTCACTAGACTGAGGACTGATGCACCTCCACGTAAGTTTTCATCTTTCCAAAACGGGCAGTGCGTACCTCTGCGAAGAAGAGGTAACGCACTGCTTTTGAGAAGAAGACGACAGATGTACACTAAGAACATCGTAGTGGATTCCTCGCGAAACAAAACGTCTCCGAGGAAGACCTCCAACGAAATGGGCAGACTTGTTTGTGGAACGGATGGGCCAGCTAAGAAACCAGCGTTTACGATGTTCGCACCTGGAACTCGTAGACGCAGCGACCGACGTCAACCAAGAAGATCGTGGATATCTGAAAAGAGGGACAGGGATAAATGGAAATTTCTGTGCTGGAGTTCGCATGTCATGTGAAGCCGGACCACCTAAGTACCTAAGTAAGTACTGCAGACATCTAACAAGGAAAGCTACCTAACGTAGCTCGGCCTTTTGACAAGTGACATAAATACTCTGAATCAGCTTCATACTCTGATTCCAAATATGCTATTCCTAGCTGCCGAGGACCATTCCGAAGAAAGTTATGAGCTTTTTCTTTGCGCGAAATTGGCGTACTCATCGACTCACTGGCATCACGGTATTGTCATCTGAGTGCTAATACACTTGTTTTGAGCTTCCTTTTAGAGAGGAAAGGTTGAATTTGCGTTATTCCGATATCTCAGCACCTTTTTCTTGCAGATTTTTATTCACATGCTTTCTTCATAAGTTTTGCAAGGCATCGCAAAACGCTGATTCCAGATCTGCCCTCGCCATCAAAGCGATTTTCTGAAGGGAATTATCCTCGTTTTTTCTAAAAGATTATGGACCGTAGTAAAACTGTCTCATTCGATCTTGACCGAGAAAAGCTTCAGTTGATGCTTTGACGAGTCAGCTCTGCCTCAGTTAAGCCATTGATCGATGATTCCAATCATCCACATTGACATGATTGAGCACACCACGTTCATGCAAGTACCGTCTGCACCCCAGAGAGGTTCCCATGTGAACCAGCGTGCGTACGTGGTGCGACGCTGCCTTTCGCTCTTTTTGACACGTTTCTCCTGAAGATTTTAACGGAAGTGCCCGAGGTTAACATGTTCAAAAGTGCGAAAGGCAGCGAGATGACGTGGTACCTATGGGAACCTCTCTGGGGCGCAGACGATATACAAGTCGAAACCCATTCGGCAATCATCCACATCTTTGTGATTGGTACGAGCGGCGGAGATGTGACCGCACATGTTAGATCTTGAAAATCGCAGCCTGCACTGTGGCTCCTGACTCAGTATGTTCAACATCTTAAACTGACATGTATCATAAGTTACTCAGGGGTAACTCACGGAAATTTTCTCTAAATCTATCGCGTATGCACGACGCCAACACGCGCGAACCCGCACGACACAAATATTACACGCACGACTAGTTCAGATCACGTTTATCTACAAATACACAAAAAATAACAAGCTACCAAAACTGTTAAACTGCTGAAACTACTAAAAGCTACGAAACCTACTAACACCACTAAAACTACTACCTCAAACCCCGGAGGGATTGAACACGGGACGAGCCGCCTCAACTCAACAATTCCAACAAGTAGTTCCGGGTTCTCCGTCGGGTCAACCGCAAGCCCTTAACCCTTCCGGGACAGTGTGACCCCGCTTTACTCCCGCAATCCTTTCCAACTACTCATCAGACTACAATACTAAGTTGCGCGTCTCCAAACACGTGAAAATCATTAAAGGCTCTACCGCTCGAAACCGTCGATCATCTGCGGGAGCTACTGCAGGCGCTGACAGCGGATTGATATTATCAAAAAGTCGACAACGAAGGAAGCTCGAGGAGGCACAGACAGCAGCCTGCGCGTCCTTGTATACCCTAAGACTTGGCAACGCGCCCAGCAGGAGAGGTCTTGGCGCGAAATTGATAGCGCGCCAAGTAACGCGATAGCCAGCGCTCCCGGCCTCCTGTTCGAGGAGTGGCTTGCATCGCGAGCCGCGACAGACATTATCTCCATGCCGAACCTGACCTGAGGCTTACATGTTAGGTGACATTGCATTCTTATAGTATAAGGAAGTGGGCGGTCATCATTTCACCTGATGGAACCTCACATAAGGGCCTCAGGAAAGATCATACCTCTTGACCGAGCTTTACTACGGGCCTATGTGTACTTTTAGATAGTTAACCAGCGTTGGTCATTTGGTCCGATTTTAGGATACCGCAGACAGAGTATGGTTGTATAGCTAGATAAGCAACAAAATCTCGATTTCATGATTTTGACCATTCGCAGCGCGCAATTTCTCTTTGAAAATAAATATAAATAATCATAACTCCGTCCAGGCTATCTTTCCGCCGATGGAAGACAGTTTATTATTCAGTATTCAATCTTTTATCGATAAACACCTCATTAGGGATGGTTAAGGTCACCAAGAGTCCTTCCCTTGTCAGCTGCCTTTTTGTAGCTTTCGAAATCTGAGTTATTCGTCTACGTTCTAGTTTACATTACCTTTGTATAACCTTTGTTTGCCAAAACCTAGAAGTTTTTTGGAACGCATCTGTCTATCTGTCAATGTTATGTCTCTGACCGTGAGGCGAAGAACCATGGACAGCAATTCTTCGCTTTTATTGATTCAATTTATATTCATATTTAACAGCTGCCATAGGCCATGTCGGGTGTATCCCATTACTTGTGACTGTCAATCACGTAGTCGCGCGTGCGACAGGCTGGCAGCAATCAGGTGCTCAGAAAACTCTGGTAGCCGACGCACAAAGCATACTGATCCATCTTTGTAATGGTTTCTACAATGCCACATCAATTTATTTGCTTGATGAAAGTTTGGCTACAAAACTCGTAGGAAAAAGAGGAAGATAGTGAAGAAAAATATGGATTCTACTATGTTTCTGATTAGTAAATGTAAATTTTTTGCCCACTGCAGTAACGACCCGTCAACATTTCCTCTGGGACATTTTCTCTGACCCTGCTGCCTCTTGTCGGGGTTACTGTAACGCCGAGTCGCGACAGTTTCTAGTTGACACTTACAAGTAATGGGAGCCCCCGGCCGCGTCCATGGCGACATGCTCCTAATGGATCTCAGTATCAGGTTGTCAAGGAACTAGCGACTCTTTCTATTTACTTGCTGCCACGGCGAGCGAAAATTAACACGTTTCGGACCTCGAAATCGCGCGCGGCGCAAAAGAGCGCACTTTCGCCATTAGGCAACAAAGGGACCTTATTTCGTAGACTGTGTGCTACATCTGTAATCAGCTTGTCAGATAAGTTTCATACTCAAAGTTTATGGATTCCAAGTGTTTAAATTTTGTCGCTTGTGAAAAACTTCTGTGCTTTCCTGAAAGAATAAAAGTATCTATATTAAAGACGGTACACATCATTATTGAAGCTACGGTTTTTCTCGTTGATATCGAGGCAAAGGAAAGTCCGCGACGTCGCACCGTCGTTCGCGTTGCCGCACATCGTTGCAACTGTTGCTCGATTTGTGCTAATATCTTCTAAACAAATATGGACAGCACAACTCTACCGAGACATTTGAAAAGTAGAAGCTTAGGCCTTTGACTTGATCACCTTAAACTTGAAGAACGTCTTGTAAACGTCAAAGAGATCCTTCAAAGCAGGGTGCTGCACCATGTGCATCCGAAACGTGTTAAGATAGCACGAAGAATGTTGTACGCAAGGGTAAAGCAAGCTTCAAAAACTGGCATTCATGATTTCGCAAAAAGTAGTTTCTAATGTTTGAGAACAAAATCTATGAAGTCTCATTAATTGACAAGTCGGAAAAACCGCATTTCCGTTTAAAAACTTCCTAATCTGCCACTTGCGTACATCTCTGCTATTATACATTCACATCGGATAATCATGAATATATACAGCCGCTGTATTTTTTCCTTGACGACCAAGAAACATAAAATCTTGTGTTTCTCCGAGGCGATTTACCTTATTATATTACAAGTTCGTGAACATAGTAATTAGTGAGTTAGGGCTTTTTAAAAAGCTAGTTTTCGAGAATTTAGCTTCTGTCTTTTGGGAGTTTTTTGATCGGAATCGTTATTTTTCAATGACTAGCTTTTGTAAAAAACCACAAATTGACGGTCATGCTTACAAAGTTTGTAGTATACAAAAACAGCAACAACATAACTGCTGTAAAAACGGTCTAGCGTCGCTTTGAGGAAAACATGAAAAATATTTGATTCAGTTTCTAATAGAAAAACAGCAAACTTTTGATGTCGAAAATCTTGATGTGTGCGAGTCGATCCGTAAGGGATTTCTGGAAGAAGATTAGTTTTTCAACCTCTTTTGGACCTTTGAAACTTTTAGATTCTGGTTTCAAACCTCAATTGGAACAAATTTGGCACAAAACATGAACACTGTCTTGTCGAGCTTGCTTCGCTCTATAAAACAGTATTAATCTTTGTACAAATGTTTCAAGCAAAAGTGCATGAATCTCTCACTCTCTCATTTAAGAGACGCTGGAACAACACTTACCACGAAAACCTGACAGAATTTAACTGTGTGCTCGAACATCTGAAAAATAGTAAGTTATTCAGTGTTCATTCGTAGAATAGAAGACTCGAAAAAGTTTTCGTACACGCCTTAACAAGCTTGTTTTTGTTTGTTTGCAGTAGCAAATTTTTAGGATTATTTTGAGTGCAAGTTTTGTCAGTTAAACACTTGGCGTTATTGTCTCTTCCAGAGTAGTACACATTCAAAGCAAATCTGAGCTGTTAAGCAATCTGAAGTGTACGCATCCCACCTTATGGCTACGATCCGCTCATGACGACTGGGCAATCGCGCAATCAATGAGTGCTTATACGGTGTTTGCTGACCTCCCGCACAGCGCGAATCCCTAACTAACCTAATCATCAATGAATCAGTGCTCTCGTGTAGGAGTCCATCGAATAACTAATCACTTACACATTTCATTTGTCGAATCAAAACTTTAGCACTGTCTTGTAGCCCTCAGCACAGCTTCAAAACGTTCATTGTGTTTGTGAAAAGAAAAATGATTTTTCAAATAAATTAATAGGGCTTTGCCGAGGATATGAGTAGAATTTGCTTGCAAACTTTGCAAACGCAAACTCATTCGCACTTTTGCTTTGGAACTATAAGGGTGATCCAAAAGTAATGGGGCACCTAGAGAATAAATGTGCAGTTTTCTCAAATAGAAAAGCTAATTAGAAATCCGAGTTTTAACAGATGTTAGTGTCTACAGTTGGGCACTGTACATGGCGTCTCTATAAGCGCTTAAAATTAAAGTTCATCACTTCAAGAATTTGAACTTTGAGCAGCAGCGCCGCAGTAGAACAAGTGAGCCTACCAAAGATATCTGCGCAGCAATTGGTGGGAGGACTGTCACCAAACTCATGACAGCTCTGTGGTCAAAAGGCTTTAGAACAGAAGATATAGCATCGGGTTTCAGGAGACATCAATATCTATATAATATTTGGACATGCATTTTTGTAACGACTGGCCTCAAATGGTACAAAGAATCAAAGAATATGGATGAAATTTTGCACTCAGGAACTTCGGGGTGAGGCGGGTGTCACCAAGTTTTTTCACCGAAAATCACCGAGCGGGGTTATCGATTCATCGATTTTTGCGTTCTTCGCTTATCAATTTCGTTATGACTGGCCTAAAATGTTAGAAAACTTCATTAAAATCAAACCAAACTTTGCACACTATGAACTTCTAAGCGGAGCGGGTGTTAGTAAGTCTTTTTCATAAGCATTATCGATTTATCGATTTTTTTGTGTTTCAATCTCTGTTGAGCTGAAAATTGGCAGGAAGGGATAGCTAAGCATGGTTAATTTGAATTAAATATCTACCACTTAAACCACTAAACTCTTTTATCTATATAAACTCTTTGTATGTCACATTCTGGAGCTAGCTGATATTGAACTATGCATAGACCTTTCGCAACGAGTTTGTCGACTGCTTAGCTCATCAGCAAAATCAAAATAATTCAATCACGAGATCACATATGACCATCAAATCAAAATACCCTATCCCGGCCTTACGGTTCATTCATAACATGCCTTCATCGGTCGTATTTCCTTCGACTACTTTCACTCCCGAGACTATGGCGCCGACATTGACCCTCTACAGCAATGGACCGCCCACCTCCACACCTCAGTCGCAGATGCATATCGCCCAGAGAACCCGAGCCCGTACCACTGCAAGGCGCAGTTTTGAACCATGCGTAACCCCCTTTGTCGTAGCCGAGGAACACCGGAGGCACGAGAACGGCGTCTTGCCTCAATGCGTAAACGTCTTCTTCGTCAACGGCAACAGGAACCACAGCTTAACGGAAGCTTTCAGGAAACACTGGATCAATCCAGGCATGGTGCGAGCCCAGAATAGGTTGGCCAACTACGATACGAACCAATCGACGAGAACACAGCACGAACGATCTCTACGCTTGACTCGCGGCAACAAGTAATGTTTGAACCGGCACCTACCGCAGATGCACATCGCGCAGAGAACTCGAGCACGTGGCGTAAGGCGGAGCTCCGGAGCTGCACATAGCCTTCTTCACATAACCAGGAAGCACCAGAGGCCCAAGAAGAACTTATCTCCATGCACGTAAGCTACCTGCATTGTCGCCAGCGCAACCACTTTTCAAAAATGCGTTCAGGCGACGAAGTGAGCACACATCAAGGACGATCCGAGGAGACCATTTCCACACCCCAGTCGCAGATGCACTTCGCACAGAGAACCCGAGCCATAGCGCTGCAAGACGCACTTTTGAAGCCTTGCGTAGCCGTCTTCGCCGTAACCATGAGACACCGGCTGCACAAGATACCTACCTACCTCTATGTCTTACCTCTATGCGTAAACGATATCATGAACGACACTTACCTGCTGATGTGCCTTCCGTCACTGAGCACTACCTCGGCAAGTTGGATGTTATTTGCCTCCATTGTAGCGCCGCATTTCTTCGTGCTAAAGTCCCTAATGGCTGTGATAAGATTAATGTGTGCTGCAACTTTGGCAACATCATTATCGAAGACAAGTTTGCCAATTTTTCTACAGAGTTGCAACACTCTTCATTGGCAACGACGACCTTTCCTAAAATTTCCACCGCGAAGCACGCCAATTCAATTCTGCGCTGGGTGAGCATCAATTGGTGCCGAAGTCGACTTGCCTTCCGGTCAGGATCCTTGGTCTTCAAAATCCACGGCCAAATCTACGACTATTTCGGTCTTCTTCATCTCGCTCCGGGGCGCCGCGATCGTACAGCCCGCTGTACATTCTGGACACGGCACAAACAGCCGCGGAGGGTCTCGGTCACCCTGCGATCGATGTGATCCCGACGTGATGCGTTCGTTAAGTGCACTGATACACAGTGTTAATTCCTTCGCTCGATCCTACAAGATGATGGACGAGGTGCTTAGGGAACGAAGAAGCTGCCGCATCAAGGGAGAACCGCAGTGCTGAGCAAGTTTGTATTTGGAGGTGGACCGTTCCCTTGACCGTCATCGTCATAACGTCCCTAGATCCAACGAAGAGTCGTTGTTTACGTCGGCGAAGACGGTGACGTTTCCTCTCATCGCGAATTTGCCGTACATCCATATGTCAACGCAGTCCAAAAGATCTCAAACATTTCCATTCTTGCCGATTCCTCTGCTACCCGATATTTTTTCCAAGGGAAAAATTTTGGCTGGAGCCCAGATCTAAAGAAGAGTGATCACGCCCGTCGACGCTCCCGCATATCTCAATGAGAATACTACTTTTACTTGCTTCAAATCAGGCCTGGCAAGTTTAATCTGATTCATCACGTAGGCCCACTTACGCAGCAGTTCATTATCGACGCTTGGGTTAAGACAGAGCAGAACCGCCTTAACTACATCCGCACTCATCAAGCCGACCTTCGAGCGGATATGTACCTCGCTACTCGACTTCATCTCCACTGACGACGCTAGCAATGGACCACAGGGCAAGCGAATTATCCTGCCAGCCAGGATTAAAGGAAGTCCGCGCTATGTGTTACAAGACTACCAGGAGTCCATGATCATTGCCGCAAAACTTAAAGAGAGCCTTCAGCCAGGACAGACTGCCAGCGACCGTCCTGACATGATTGCGAGATTTACAAGTGCAAGTTCGATACCCTCATGGAGCTACTTCTCACAAAACACGCTCTCGGCCGCGTCCTAGGTCACGTATCAGTCTCCGAGTGGCAGAAACGAGGGTTGTCACACACGCACTCCCTTCTCATCTTGGACAACGACTCGAAACCTCGCACAGCAGCCGACGTCGATCGCCTCATCAGCGCTACCATTCCGGACCCCGCTGAGGACCCAACTCTGCACGATATTGTTACGACAATGATGATGCACCGACCTTGCGGAATCCATAACCCGGAATCATCGTGTATGCGTGATGGCAAGTGCACTAAAAAGCTTTCCAGGACCCAGTTATGAAATCTGTACGAGGCAGCGAAGCTGCTGAGTGCCAGCCGCATCTGCCGCGTAGCGGCAGTGAGCAGCAGGCTTTGTATATAAAATTGAATGTCTGTACGTCTGTATGTCTGTACGTATGTTCCAAATAAAAATTCCATTTCTGAACCGATCCCTACCAAACTTTGCACACATACACTTCGGGGCAGGGCGGGTGTCATAGGCTACTTTTCTTCATCGACCGTACCGATTTTATTGATCTTTCAAAAAATTCAAGCTACGAGGCTGGGAGTTGGCACAGGGGGGTAAGTGAGCATGCTGATTACGAATATATTATTGACAGAGCCGGGCGGAGCCGGGTTTGTCAGCTACTATTACTTATTTTTTCGTCAAGATAATCGAATAAGCTCAATCTTAACAGTTGCTTTCTAATGGTGCTTTTTATGCTCTATCCATACGTATGCAAATCACTTCGACTTTTCTTATTTTTAGAAAATTGTTAGTCAAAACATAAATTTTAGTCTGAAAACCTGCGCCAAACACCGCATTTTTTCGAAATAAGTGCCTTTTTTGTATGAAATAATGGGCAATTTTTGAATATTCAAGTAATCATTCGAAAGAGCTTGAAAGCTCTTTCAAATTTCTAACTTTTGAGCTCGAATTCCGCACAACACATGACTAACATGTAAGTCTAATATGAAGAAAGCACGAGCGGATCCAATAAGCGGCCCTTCGAGCGAAAATCGCGCTGCATGCAAGCTCTTTGTTCTTGCTCCGCAACGAATCTATTACAACCTTTTGCACAATTATTCATTTATCTATTTGTTTAATGCATTAGAAGTGCGCTTGTCATAAAACAAGAAAAACGAAGTGATAGTCAGTAAGAAAAAAGAAGAAAAAACTCCAAAAACACAAAAACAAAAACAAAACACCAACACCAACACCAACACCACCACACACAGTTATGAGATTGAGTGGTAAGTAGCTCTGCAAGGCGTGGACTTTAGCCCAAAAATTAGGCGAAAGCCCATTTCGTGTAAAATCGGAGTCAAAAAGCACTGATTGCGTGAATGGTTGATATGTCTATGTTCTTATATGTCTAGGTTCTCCAAGAATTTAAGAAAATTTCTGCTTAGAAATGTAGCTTCCTGTCGTCATTGTCAGTTCAGTAACTGTTTTAAACTCGCTTTGCGTGAAAGTTTTTTTCCAAAGTTTGCGATCCTGCATGAAACAAAGCGTGAAATAAGTATTTGTTCACAGTTCATTCTGATGGCCATAAACCTCGAAGTAATGGTAAAGCATTGGTAACTCACATTCTTATAGAACTTTGAATAGTTTTGCGGTACCATTTGAAGCAAAACAATCCACAAGACCGCACCCGAATGTTTGCTCAATTTCTGTACATAAAGTTTGAAAAACTTTTAAAAAAAAGTTTAAAAAACACACAGATATACACACACTCACACACCACACCTAAACACACACCATACCACAGACACCACACAGACCACATATCACGCACACAACACACCACATAGACACCACACACACCGCACACATCACACACACGCCCCACACACAGCAGATAATCTACACACACACACACACACACACACACACACACACACACACAACACACACAACGCAGGAGGTCCTATAGCGTTGAAATAATAGTATTGCTGGAGAAAGTGGAAATGGTTTAAAACTGTGAGACTCCATAACCACTGAGTGCCAGCTTTACAATTTGGTGCTTGATAGATAACATGAGGTTTTCACAAAAAAGTTGTTGAAGGTCAAACATTTGCGCCCATCATCCACTACATGTACTGCTATAAAAAATCCGATTGGTGTGGCCGTATACTCTAGGCTTTAAAGCCATCACTCATAGTATCAGATTGATGCAGATATAATGGATTCTCCGTGCGACACGTAGTGTAAATATAAAAAACGTGTAAAATAACTATTCGATAGGGCAAATCTAGCTTTACAAGTCAGCTACCAAACTTTCTTGAAAATCGTGATTCCCATCATGATCATAAGGAGCAAGAATAGAGCGAGGATCATTCAATCAACCGAATTTTGGAACTCTGCCAAAAAAGCTCATGTCTCGAGTAGTTGCCGGATTTGAGACTGGAGGAAACAAAGATAGGCTGAAAATACGGAACTTTGCGTTCTCGGATTTGCTCTAAATGTAATTTCGGCAACCAAAGACATACAGAAATGAGATTTTCTATTTGTAGAACACAAGTGAGTATCCTCTGTAACATTAACGATGGAGGCTAGCGCGGCCCGTCTCCACCTCGCTTGAGCTCTGCACTTCTTTTCTGAGAGTAACGTATGATTATTTTCATGCCTGACGAGTTAAAGAGCGGCTCTGCTCAGATAATCGCGGAGGGCAGGCGGTCTGCGAACTCGCGTTTTCCTGCGGGCGGTGAGCAAAATTTTGGGGCGTGGACAGACCTTCAGCGGGCGGTACCTCCTTTACTGTCGAATGTTCTGCGAGCGGGGCAGAATACAGAGTTTTCTGCGGGCGCTCGTCTATTCTCTTTCAGCGAGCGCTGACCAAACTTTCAGCAGGCGCTCGGACTCTTTTTAAGCAGTTCGGGCTACGTCGCGCAAATGTGAGACTGCCGCAGAGGTGTCATCGATGGTTTAATTACTCAAGTTTGAGGTACTTTCTCTTAGCGAAAAGTACCTGAGGGCTGTGCGATCCTTCACAAAGGACCGTGCGGCCGTCAATAACTTTGCGTATTCTCGCGGAAAGTCCGCGAGAATGCGGCCAATGCGCCGCAACTAATATATAGGAAAACCGCGATGGTTCTCCGAGCGTTTGTCTAATTGGTCAACATTGTTCCAAATTTCTGCAAGCGGACCGCAAGAAATCAGCGAACTATTTTTCCGGTGCCCGCTTGCTCAAAATTCGGATGGCCGCCTGCCTCCCGCGATTATCTGAGTGATCATCCATAAAGCGTTGGGAAATGATTGGAGAGGACGTTCGCGAAGAGGTGCGGAGCTTTGCAAAGCGGGTTTTGGGGCGCGCAAGCTCTCATCACTTCTAATGATAATATGTGGGGAGTATGTGTGAACTAATGCGCGATTGTGTTCGCCGATTTTCGACCGTTGTGTTCTTGTCCCAAACTTTGCAGTCGTAAAAAATACAGCAAATGCATCCAATTTTTGTGTGCGTATATTACAGGCTGACGAAATAGGTTTCTACTATCTTTCTCGGCTGAGGTCCAATTTTAAAGCGCTTACTGTTCTGAATTTTGACTTCAAACTCCATGCGTGTTAGGATTCTCGTACATGTCTGTTATCTTTTTGTGAAGCATGATTTGCTCTAATGAGTAGTGCCAAATGCGTTTTCTGATATGTACACTGTGGCTGTAGCAGGATATCCATTAGGTTGTATTGCACGTCATTCCTTAAGGGTCGGGCATACTTCACGCGATTTTGGTGACGCGTTGGCAATGTTTCAACTGCTCAGATAATCGCCAGGGGCAGACGGTCCGCAAACTCGCGCTTTTCTGCAAGCGGTCAGCAGAATTTTGAGGCGTGGCCAAACCTTCAGCGGGCGGTACCTCCTTTACTGTCGAACGTTCTGCTAGCGGGGCAGAATACAGAGTTTTCTGCGGGCGCTCGTCAAATAATCTCTTTCCGCGAGCGCTGACCAAACTTTTTGCAGGCGCTCGGACTCTTTTTAAGCAGTTTCAGGGGGACGTCGAACAAATGTGAGACTCTGTGCTGCAGAGGTGTCATCGATGGTTTAACTACTCAAGTTTGAGGTACTTTCTCTTAGCGAAAATTACCTGAGGGCTGTGCGGTCCTTCACAAAGGACCGTGCGGCCGTCAATAACCTTGCGTATTCTCGCGGAAAGTCCGCGAGAATGCGGCCAATGCGCCGCAACTAATATATAGGAAAACCGCGATGGTTCTCCGAGCGTTTGTCTAATTGGTCAACATTGTTCCAAATTTCTGCAAGCGGACCGCAAGAAATCAGCGAACTATTTTTCCGGTGCCCGCTTGCTCAAAATTCGGATGGCCGCCTGCCCTCCGCGATTATCTGAGTGATCGTCCATTAAGCGTTGAAAAATGATTGGAAAGGACGCTTGCGAAGAGTTGCGGAGCTTTGCAAAGCGGGTTCTGAGCCGCGCAAGCTCCCGTCACTCCTAATGATAGTATGAGAAACGCGCGATTGTGTTCGCCAATTTTCGACCGTTGTGTTCTTCAAATTTTGCAGTCGTAAAAAATACAGCAAATGCATCTAATTTTTGTGTGCGTATATTACAGGCTGACAAAATAGGTTTCTAGTATCTTTATCGGCTGAGGTCCAATTCTAAAGCACTTACTGTTTTAAATTTTGGCTTCAAACTCCATGCGTGTTAGGATCCTCGTACATGTCTGTTATCCTTTTGTAAAGCATGATTTGCTCTAATGAGTAGTGCCAAATGCGTTTTCTGATACGTACACTGTGGCTGTAGCAGGATATCTATTAGGTTGTATTGCACGTCGTTCCTTAAGGGTCGGGCATACTTCACGCGATTTCGGTGACGCGTTGGCAATGTTTCAACTGCTCAGATAATCGCCAGGGGCAGACGGTCCGCAAACTCGCGCTTTTCTGCAAGCGGTCAGCAGAATTTTGAGGCGTGGCCAAACCTTCACCGAGCGGTACTTCCTTTACTGTCTAATGTTCTGCCAGCGGGCAGCAACCAGAATTCTCTGCAGGCGCTCGTCAAATAATCTCTTTCAGCGAGCGCTGGTCAAATTTTCAGCTGGCGCTCGGACGATTTTTGAGCAGTTTCGGGCGTACGCCGAGAAAAGGTGAGACGCTACATGGCAGAAGTGTCATCGATGGTTTAATTGCTCAAGTTTGAGGTACTTTCTCTCAGCGGAAAGTACCAGGGGGCTGGGCGGCCCTCCACAAAGGACCTTGCGGCCCCCGAAAATTTTGCATATTTTCGCGGAAAGTCCGCGAGAATGCGGCTACTGCGCTGCAGCTAATCCATAAGGGAACGCGGTTGTTCTCCAAGCATTCGTTCCAAAATTTCGCTAAAATTCTTTCAAATATCTGTAAGCGGACCGCAAGAAATCAGCAAACTACTTTTCCGGTGCCCGCCTGCCCACAATTTGCATGGCCGCCTGCCCCGCGATTATCTGAGTGTCCATAACTCACTGTAAGCACATTTTAAATGTACAGAAGATAGGGCATCTGCGTAAGTTATACACACTATACATGAACAGATCGCTAGTGTTGAATTTGAAGACTTCTAGCGAATTGCCAAATCGCGTCGCGACTGAAATCGCGTAAAGTATGCCCGGCCCTTTATGATGTTTAACTCTGAATTGGTGCTGCGAGTAGTAAACATACCTGAAGATTTACTGGTTGACTAAGGTTGCTAAGACCGTTTCAGAATATTTTTTTAGAGAATTATACACCATGTGACCCTCCCCCGTTGACCGCAGAGGAAGATGAGCTACCTTCAGTAAGTTTCAAGGCTTTCCATTTCTTTCTTACTTAGTTATTTAGCGTCATAAAAGCATTTGCAGTCATGGATAACGACAGTTGCGAACACGCAGCCAGGTACATCTCATATCTCACCAACATGAATATGATTCTTTGAAGGCAACATCCAGGCATAATCTCGAACAAAATTTCTTTCACTTACCTGGCCTTATTCTTCCCGTTGATTCCGAAAATGCAGCTTGCAGAGAACAAAAATGTCGAAAAAGGGCTTTTCCAGAAGCATTTGATTTTGAATAATGACGCTTGCCGCCGAGGTTAAGACGCAGGAGTCGCGTGCTCGACATAAAGGCTGTTGCATGACGAAGGCGCAATACCATTAGGCGCGAACGCGGCTTTATTAGCCGCAGCGCGCATAAGGCGCAGGATTTACAACGGTAAAGATAGGCGCGCGCTGAGTTCGCGCCCGCTCAGCTAATACTGCTATTGCGCCTTCGTCATGCAGTAGCCTTTACGTACTCTGGCTATCGATTGAAGGGGCGGGCACGTCGCCGGGGCTGTCCTGTCGCCACTTCTGAAGCAGTTTTCTCGCTTCAGAAGCAAAGTGGTGCAATGCCACTTGGGCAAGATCTCCATCAGGCCGAGAACCCCTGTACGCTACAGTTTCGTTTTTGCCGGACGCTGCCTTTAACACATTGACGACCGCTTGACACACATGGTGTGTCAAGCAATGACTACCGCGTGGGACCGCTTGACACATGGGCCCGTAATAAACTACCGTCAGGGCATCTCCCCTGAGGTGGACCGAGTTGATATCTTGGCGGCTCAGTCTAGCATCCGGCGAGCTATTGATCTGGATGCAGATCGCTTCCTGGACATCATAATCAAGTGCGTTCTCGAAAAAACGGCTACTTGATTTGATTTGGTTAAATGGGTAAGCCACTGGAATTACAGCGCGCGACAGTGGTTCGACTCCGCCTAGCGACACAACTTTTGCTGCATCGCAGGGCAATTTTTGATAGCGGCCACTATCCAATCGATGATGACCGCTATCAAGGATTTCGCCTAGCAAACGCAAAGATAAAACAAAAAACATTTCGTTACGAAAATTTTGCGACAAAACGAAATGGTTGCAACGTGAATTTAATGAAATGAACAAATGAGTCCTCGTTTTGGACAGCTTCAAAAAAACCAGTAGAGATTACAAAAAAGAGAAGAATTTGTTTTTTCTGTCTTCCTCGCCAAAGTCAGCTGTTCATCGATCCTCTCCTTTTCGAGCGCGGTTGTGCAATTTTGCGCCGATTTTGTCCGCAGTGTTAGGCAAATTGCTGTGTATCGTAAGTTACTCAGGAGCAACTTACGAAGATTTTCTCTGCGTTTCCTCTTTAGCACACTATTTCTGGACATCATCGCTCATATCATCTCCCATGACCCTGCCGAACTTCACCTGAGGCTCACCTCTCAGGTGACGTTGCATCCCTATAGCATGGGGAAAGGGGCGGTCGTCATTTTACTGACAGAACCTCACATGAAGGTCTCGATAATCTCCCATGACCGAGCTTTACTATGGGCCATGGTGTGTCAAGCGGTCCCACAGGCTTGGATTTTATTAGAATGACACTATCTCGGGATAAACTCACTCCACGAGCCTTCTTTTGCACTGATCAAGGATGACCTCTACCTTTCTTGTCAGCTTTTCAGACCTATTGTAAATGTACTGTAGATAGCAATATGCTTATTTGTAGTTGGAAAATGTGGGCTGACCGTGAAAGGTCGTGGTCCCAGAGGGCAGACAACTAAAAATCTGCATGGTCGTCAATGTGTTAACAACTGTTTTTCAATAAAACTAATCTAAGGTAATATCATGGTAAATTGTTGCTTTTGTTGTGATGAAGGTGTCGAGCGACGCAAAAATTCCTCATCCATAATGTTAGGCTATGGTGTGCTGACGCAGCTCCACTCGTCACAAGAGCTGACAAAATGTCTTTAAAAAGTCCACACAGCATCGAATTTTTGTTTGGTTTTTGGCGACCCTTTAAATTTGGTTATCGACTTTGATAAAAAAAAAATGACGCACGATTTTGATGATAACAATTGTCGGATTTTCTTGGGAACCGCTTGAAGGGAGACCTATGGGTTTCATCCTTTTGTGTTCGCTGAAATATCAGCGGTTTCAAATGTTAGAAAGCTGTTTGTTGGAAATCTCTTTGAAGACAAAGCGGTTGAGAACATCATTTCAAAAAGGAATGGTCAGAACATGATTTGGCCAATCCAAACAAGCGTGAATCATCGCACCACTTTGTGCTGATCTCAATAATATGTTCATTATCGAGGACTATCTGGAAAGAGTTGTGAGCGTACGAATATGGGGATTATCCGAATTCCAACGAATAAAGTGCATTGCAAGGGAGTCTGGAACTACAGTGATTATGAATACTCTCACAGAGTCGCAATACATTCGAAACCTGCATTTGTGCTTTCAAAACGATTTCAAAAGTGCTTTACCAAATGCTTGACACAACCGCATTTTCAAGCGCTCATAACTCCTTCCGACTGTCGTTGAGGAGACAGTGGACATAAACAAAATGTATCAAGCACACATTTAGTCTTTGATAATTCTCTTCCCACAAAGTTTTTGCTTAGCTCTAATAAGTACCACTCAGTAGAGCAGCTCAACTTAGGTTTACAATATAGAGGGAATCACAAATCGCCTCTTCATTACTCTTGAATTACACTAGGAACTCCATACACCGCCATTGTGAGATAAACCGTTCAAAAAATTCCAAATAAATCTAGAAAGTTATGTTGCTGTTTTCAGGCATGCTACTCGAGCTTCTAAAAAATTTTCTAGTGTTTAAATGCTGTTATCCTAACTAACCTGTGAAGAAAGCCTCACGGTAAAGAGCTAATATCATAATCATTATCAGCGACTCAATTTAACGTAAAGATAGAGTTCCTTGGCTCGCTGTGTATCTATTCTGGGGTTTAGATTCACTAGAGATTTTATAAAAGGTGGCTCGTTCATAATTTTGATGTTGTTAAAACTACCGTAATCCTACAACAATGAACAGCGAACACTTCATTCTCCATACCGTAAATTCAAGTATAAGGCAGGTTTGCATTATAAAGGGGGGAGGGGAAGAGAGAGAGGAGGGGTGCATGTAAAGCTTTTTACTGCTAGACAGGCACCAATTAGCGCATTTCGAGTATTTTGTGGTGTTCCAGGCAATTCATTTCTCTGGGTAAAGATTGAGAAAAAATTCTAAGCTTTTGCCAAAGCGATACTAACAAGGGAAGGATACCAACATTACTTGGCAATTGAAGATGAGATGCATACTAGTAGGCGCGCCTTTGAACGCTGATTCCAAATCTGCTTTCCTTTTTTTGCGGAATAAGTTTCCGAAAGAAGTTGTGGGCGTTTAAATGTCTAAATTTGACAAGGTTTAGGTGGCCTGAAATTAGCGAAAAGCTGTACAAAAGCACCGGATAGTGGAAAATCATTTTTGTATCGAGTATATTGTTTGCAAGAAAGGAACAAAGCCGGTGGAAATCGCATAGGTGTTGTTTCAGAAAACTTTTCGCTGATTTTAAGCCACTCAATGCTTGGCAAATCTGGACATTCAAACGCTCATAACTTCTTTCTCAAACTTAATCCGCAAAAAAGAAAAGCAGATTTGGAATCAGCGTTCAAAGATGCATCTAGTAATATACATCTCATCTTCAATCGCCAGCTGATGCTGGTATCCTTCCCTTGTAAGCTTTTTCCATTGAGCAACACTACAGTGCGGATCCTTGCAAGTATCACCGTGAATTTTCAGCTTCTTAAAACCCTTATTTTTCGAAATTTAGCTCACTGAAGTAAAGCGGCATTTTCTATGTTCTTTGGAATCTGTGCTATTTCCTTTTTTACTCGATTTTTAACCATGGAAGAAAGTGCAGTTGTACATGTAAACTAAATGCCTAATGTGGAAGGTATATGCGCGAGCAATTTCCAAACCCTCTAATTATTTTGAACGGAAATACAAAGTTGTCGATTTTTTCAGACATTAAAAGCCTTTTAGATTCTTGCTACGAACTTGACATGAAGAAAAATTTGCGCGCATATTCTGTGATCATCTTGTAGAATTTGCACTATCGAATTACATGCAAGATTTATACATGTCTGGAGAAGCGGTATAAAACAAAGTTGAAAATAATAATTAACACAGACTAATAAAAAGCCAAATTATTTTTCTTTTATTTTCGAAGTAGCATTTATTATTACTGCCCCTTATGGCAACCACCAATGATATAAGGTCGTACCGAAAGTTCTTGCGCACGATTTTCAAAAATTCGTAACTCTTTAAATTTTGAACGAATTTGTACGTTCAAATTTTTACTTAAGAGAGGAACTCATGCTCTTTGCAACTGCACCTGAATTGTTTGTAAATGTTTACAAAAGAAGGAGATAGAAGCTGAAAACCGAAATCATTCAAAATTTGAATTTTTCGTGTAGGATAAAAAATCGGAAACTTGCAGCAAAAATCGGAGCAGTCGGTATTGTAGGTTCTTTCACAAGCTTTTTCCAACAGTGCAAAGTTTGCGCTGAATGAAAGTCGTGAAAAGTTTTGATTTCCCTGAAAAATGCCAAAATAAATCAAATACGCCCTTTCTTATTGTGCTCGATATAACTCTTCATAGAGACGTTCAATCAGCGCAAACTTTGCACTGTTAGAAAGAGCTGGTGAAAGAACCTACAATACGGACTGCTCCGATTTTTGCTGCAAGTTTCCGATTTTTTATGACCCTACACGAAAAATTCAAATTTTGAGTGATTTTGGTTTCGAGCTTCTATCTCCTTCATTTGTACACATTAATGAAAGCAAAGAGCATGAGTTCCTCTCTCAAGCAAAATTTTGATCGTACAAATTCGTTGAGAATTTAACAAGTTATGAATTTTTGAATATCGTGCGCAAGAACTTTCGGTACGACCTAATATTTTTAGTGCCGACGACAAGTACAACCAAGGTAACCACTACAGCATCACCAACGACTTCGGAAACACCTTTGACCTCGGGAACACCAACCACTTCGGAAACAGTCGCTGAAACTCAGTCTTGCCTCATAGTGATAGGAAGACAAGACTTTTCTACACATTTGGATGCAGCAAATTAGAAGCTTTTTAATCTTTCGTAAAGTTCCATAGGCTCAGAAGTTTGCAAAACGCAATGAGGAGGCTGCAAGATTCTCAGTGACATACTTATACATAGTTGGTCCGCAGTACCGCCGTTTACTGGAGCTGCCGGAATGGCTGCACTAAAACCACTTTGTATAATTCAGAGATGCTCTAAGATTTGCAAAATAAATGGCAGCCCTTGATGCTGCTTGCTTGAGTCCAGAATCGAGCTGTTATGTTTGACAAGCATGTTAAGTTGTAGTGAAAGTAATCTCGCATTTTCTGAGTGAGCGCCATATTCGTCAAATTAAAGATTTAAAAAAGAATCTAGATGGGTTTGATGCAGTTTTTGTCTAGCTGCTTAAGTTGGAATTGCGGTTAAACCAGCGGCGAGCAAAAAAGAGCGATTGCTGGTGGCTGTCAATAAGCTATACCCTATATATCCTCATCTCAGTTCGAGCACGGCAAAGATTCAGAGCATTTCCTTTGTTTTCAAATCGACTGGAGAGCTGGAGAAATTTTGTCTGCTCGATAATACTGTGTAATAATTTGAACTATCAATGACGGATCCCAAGTGATAGCTCGAGTATTTCAATTTTTTACGCAACTGCTTCACATTGTACTTATCTCTAATCTCAGAGCAAAACTTATCAGGTATAGCATTCATTCAGCTCCATTTTCACTGAGTCTCGTATTTCTTTCTGTCTCATAATTTACTTTTTTTATCATGGAAACCAAGTCATAAAATTTCTTGTAAAAATTGAAAATTTGACAGATATGGAAAATCAGTATGAAAAAGAAGATGCGCTTTTTGCGCAGCTAACAATTACCAATGTCCCTTCCGCACCTCCTTCAGCCAACGAGCTCTTCAAAACATTTCCAAAGTCTGCAACCCATGGAATTGACCATGGTCAGGTTTTGCAATTTTCTGAACTTTTTATACTTATTTCTCGAAGAAGTCCAGATAACAGACGGATAGAAGGCTGATAAGCAGGAATTTTTCAGGATGATAATCATTCTTTCAAGACTGCTAACTTTTGATAAACAATGAATCAAAAGTGACTGCACTTTACCTTGATATTTTCAAATTCGAGGGATTCAAAGCTTGTGATCCAAGCATGCGGTACTGGCGCAGTTCAGCCGCTTCAAAAGCTTGTTTAAAGCATCGGGAGCAAGCAGGGTTGACCCTATAGACCAGGATTTTTTCAGAGAAAACATATTTCAAAAAAAAAATTGAAATTGTTGATTTGGAAATCTGAAAAAGAAAAAGCTTCGCGCACTGTTAGGTTTGCTTTTTCGCAAAATGCTCCAGCTTTGCTGAAAGTCTATAACAAAGACTCCCAAAAAGTTGAATTCTGGCGTTGTGAGGCAACCACTCGGATAATCCTGCATTTTGAAAACTTTGAATTTTAACTTGAAAACCTAGCAAAAAGAGAAATTAAGCTACATCGGATATGATTGATAAGATTCCATGTCTTTTTATATTAACGGATGTGGCGATCAGTCAAAAAATGCGAAATTACTTTTAAGCCAACCTAAAGCAATGATCTGCCGGTAGTAATCCCCGGCCTGAAGGCCTGTCTCGCCGGCAGGTCGCCGGCACCTGGCCGTGGGGCGCCAAAAAGTAAGATCCCAAATCTAGGCCGTCTCAAGCCTTTTCCAGGCAAATTTCTGGATGAAGGTGCCACCAGAACTTCAAAAAAATCCCATCGAATTTCGAAGTTCTAGGAGTTCTCCTATATTCCTATAGGAGTGTATTGGGAAGCGCAGGAGGATCTGGAGGAAACTTCGCGAGCTCAGTTGCCGGCAATAGCTCGTCGAAATCTGCGAGTGGCAGCTGCAGTTGGAGAAAACGAGAAATAGCGTGCTCTTTTAAGACAAGCAGTTGCTGGCATTTCGACGTGCCCCTACCACATCGAGGTGCTGGCACCTTGCTAGCGGCGTCTTTGAGCAGTGCGGTATCACACAATTTACGTCAAGGGAATAAATCAAATTTTTTACTTTCCATCAAAATATTGTGGTTTTTGTCATTATCTGGAGTTTTTGTGATCAAATCGATGTTAATGGAAAAAGAGTTCGGCAGTATCGTAAAAACTCTAGCAGGATCGCGTTTTTTTCTGCCTTCATAACCTCTTTTGAAACAATTTCGTCTTATCGCGTCCATACCAATCAGCTATATAACGTCCACCACTCAATGTAGTATCATGCCCTCTCACAGGCGTCACCAGTTTGTGCGTTCCTATTATTGTTTTGCCAACCATAAGCGGTGAAGTGGTCTATGATAGTGCGATCGCGCTCAAAGTCAACGCAGGCAGTTTCAAACGCGCGAGATATCATTGTTTTGTGAAGGATTGTGTCGTCATATAAAACTATCAAAACCATCAACCAGTCCGCGAGCTGCCTTCCAAGTTGGCGACTTCTCTCCCCCCCCCCTTCACCCTTCGATGTCTGCCAACTTGCCGGGCTCTATGATGCCACCAGGTAGGGTAGATTACTACCGGCTCTGATAAGGAAAAAAAGCCACAACTACCATTGTAACCATGGTCTCTTTTATCAGACAAAAGATGCATATGGAAATACTGTCTGTGAGCTCTTTTCAAACTACGTCCGCTATCTGCAAGGCGATCTTTTGGAATTACGGACAGGTTTTATGAGAAACTTGCGCAGTACTGGTCAAATTTATGTAAAATAACTAAGATGCCTGCTTCAAGCTGTATGCATAGATGCCATGAGCAGAAAATTTTCGTTAATGAATTACTTATACACGATAGACAAAAGCGCAGGAGACTTTAAAACTTTGCAACTACGCAATTTTTTCATGGAAAGATGACAACTTTGACAAATCAAAAGACTATAGTATGGTTTTCGTATGCATCACCGTAAATTATCTGCCCTCAAGGAGCCTTAATTCTCGAGGAACATCAAATTTATCTCGATAGTCAGATTACCGCATTGCCCATTCTGAAGGAACAACGCTCAAGGATGTTCCTTCAAAATGGGTAACTGGTAAGTTAGTATAATTTTTTACTGAACAAAATCGAAAGGCCTTTTGGATAATGTTGTGATGTTGGCTCACACAGGATATTGGTTTTCCAGGCAATTTCATTCAAGACAAGGCAAAGTTAATTTTTAGGGCAGCTTTATAGCTATGGCCAGCACGGTATGAGAAGCGGTATAAAACAAAATTGAAAATGATAATTAACACAGACTAATAAAAAGCCAAACTACTCTTTTATTCTCAAACTGGCATTTATTAACTGCCCCTTATGGCAACCACCAGTGATATTTTTAGTGCCGACGACAAGTACAACTAAGGTAACTACTACAGCGTCACCAACGACTTCGGAAACACCTTCGACTTCGGGAATACCAACGACTTCGGAAAAAGTCGCTGAAACTCAGGGTGAGTCGTTTTGCTGCCATAGTAATAAAAAGACAAGACTCTTCTCGCACAATTAGATGCAGCAAGTCAAGAGCTTTCTGCTTTTTCTTTCTAGCTGTAGGTTCAGATCTTGCAACATGCAATGAGGAGGCTGCACGATCCCCAGTGGGATGTAGGATATATAGTTGTTTCAACGTAAAGCCACTTACGGGAGCTGCCGGGATGGCTGCTGTAAACCACCTTGTGTACAACACCGCTCGAAATTTTTGTAAATGTCGCAGAATTCGGGGAATTCCGCAACCCCAAGATGCGGAATCACGCGAATCACGCAAACTCCGCAGCGCCATAACTCCTTTTGGAGTGAAAATATTGTAAATCCGAAATAAACCGATGTGATTTTTGTAATGAGCAGGTCGGATAAACCCTACGAGCAAGTTTTGATCTGAACTCTAGTCACGAAGCTTTTTGATATCTAACTAATTAGCTGGGGCTCAACAACTACCAACTACCGTGTCTCTTGAGCGAAGCAATGCAATCAGCGTGTCATGCAACCGCTTACGATGGAATTTCGGCGAAGTATGCGATCTTCGCGAATTCGTCAATACTTATGAATTCGCAAGCTCATAACTCTGCGACTGTTATAGATTTAAGCCAAAGACGTGCGCAGTTCGATAGTACTGCGCATGTCTCTGGCTTAAATCACTAGGAACCGTACTATCGCACTAGCCAGAGAAATGCGCAATACTATCGAACTGCGTCTCTGGCTAGTGCGATAGTACGGTTTTTAGTGACTCTGACCGGTAAGCGCAATTATTCAAATCTTCCAAAAGGTACGCGAAAAGTGCAGGTGCATCTACGAACTTTCACGGCTCAGCTGGTTCCCTCACCATATCTCTGCTAGAAGACCCCTTACTCCGCAAAGACCACGACCTTCGTAAAGAGCGTATTCGAAAACTTCTATGATCGAAGTTTCCTTACAATCCAAGATTATCAACATTGTGCCCAAGAGTGTAAAACGAGAAAAAATGAATTAATCCGAACTTCCCGGACTCATAAAGGTTATCTGACTCTGATTACGGAAATTACGTATGCTTAGCAGGAGAGGTTTATGTTTTGGGGTTATGGTGAGTGGAATTTGAAAGGACATGATTTTTCCAGAAATTACCAGCTCTTCTATCTCTCTTGAAGAGTCTCCAGCTCTTTAGCGCATAGCCAAAGGGAACGGCACTATCGAAGACTGCTTACTGGAATCTTTTACGTATAATCTGCGCTGCGTTACATCCTTACGAAAACGGCCGCAGAAAAAATTTGAAAGTATTAGAAGCGGAATATGAAGTGCATGGAGTATATCAAAAGATTCGCCTTGATGAGCTGAGCACGATGTTCCTTGGATTTAGAATATATTAACTTCAAAGGAAGTTATGGCGCTGCATATTTGCGTAATTCGCTGAATTCCGCGACATTCACGGAATTTTTGCACGTTCTGCTAACGGTATACTACCTCAAAAAGCTCCAACATTTTCGAGATAGATAATCACTCCTGATGCTGCTTACCGTAATGCAGATTCGATTTGTTAGGTTGATGATCATGTTAGATGTTCTAAAAGTAATCTCGCGTTTTCTGAGTGAGCCCAACATCCGTCAGACTGAAGATTCGTAAAAGAATCAAAGTGGATTTCAAATGGATTTGATGCGCTTCTTGGCCTTTTTCGACTGATTATGGTAATGTTGGCATTGTGGTTTAGCTGGTAGCGAGCAAGAACGATGGTTTGGCTGTTCTGTCAATACCCTCATTTCTATCCACGGTAAAAATTCAGACATGCCATTTTCATGCTTTTGAATGGCAGAGTTGGATTGTTTGCTTGAAAATAAAATAGAAGTATCAAAAAATGGTTTCAGTTGAAAACTCGTTTCTCGAAAACTCGAAAAAAAAAGTCGAAGGAGCAATTCGCGCATATTATATGATCATCTTGTAGTGCCTGCTTTGCACTATGGAAGATCTGCCCTATCTATGTATCTTTATATATATAAAACTCAAAAATTGTCTGTTAGGAGATGTGCGTTATAGAAACGCCCGCCGCTCAACCGATTGGGCTTAAACTATGCATGCAGAGGTTTCCACCCCGGAGACGGTATTTTCGGTAACCAGAAATGAAATTGAAACCTTATCAACCGTCACTGCACTTATTGCACGTTTTGGTGTAAACAATGGCAGTAAAATTCATCTTCATTTTGCGATGAAGAAAATGTGGTCACTCGAAACAAGGACGTTTTGAGGTAAGCTCATGCAGGAGAAAAGGGGGCGAGAGGGTTTTCACTCAGTACAGAGACAGCAAAAAGGGAGCTAAAGACAGAGGCCATGTAGCAATACGTGGGATGACATGCTGAAGAGAACAGGAAATACGGGACGCATGAGGAACAAATTATGCTTTCATCCATCCTCCTGAACGATGACCCGGGCTCAGGGCTCGGCACAGCTGGCACCGGATCAAGCTGGATATCTTAGGGCGAAAAGCAAAGGGGATATCGTTTTTCCGAGATCCGGGGAGGAAAAGAGCCACAAGAATGCCGCCGGCATGCCACCGGCATACTGTCCATCAAACAAACAAAGGCGTTGTTTCTAGCCAAAACGCAATAGTATGACACCAAATTTGATGTGTGCATGCGCCTTGGAGGACCCGAACTTACTTACTTAGATACTTAGATGGCCCGTCCTCACGTGACGTGCGGGCTCCAGTACAGAAGTTTCCATTGATCCCTGTCCCTCGTTTCGGACATCCACGATCTTCTCGGTCGTCGTCGATGGCTGCGTCCACGAGTTCCAGGGGCGCAAGTCGTATTCAGCTGATTTTTCAGCTGGTCCATCCGTTCTACGAACACGTCTGCCCATCTCTTCGGTGGTCTTTCTCGAGGACGTTTGGCTCCGCGAGGAATCCACTCAGATGTTCTAAGTGTCCATCTGTCGTCTGTTCTTCTCATGATGTGACCGGCCCATCGGTGTTTCGCTTTCGCAACGTATTCCGCGGGGTCACGAAGACGGGACATTCTTCTTAAATCCGTGCTGCGAAGTCCGACAATATGTTGTTTGCGTCGGCTCATCTTTGAAGACTGCGCTCTAGCGCCCTATAGGTGGTCCTTAGAGCTTTCGACGTGGCTACAGTGTCGGGCCAAGCCTCAGCGGCGTAGCAGAGGGCTGGGAAAACGGTTGAGTCGAACAGGTGGGCACGAAACTCCGGGTCCGTCAGTTGTTCGGTGGCTTCCTTCAGAGGCACGAAGGTCGAAGGCCCATGCTGCTCGCTGCCCATCGAACGTCCGAGGTATACGTATGAAGACGTCTCCAAGAAAAGGGTGCCTTCCAATTTCATTTCTGCATTTTCTCAAAGGGCGTTCTTCAGGAACTGAGTCTTCTTTCAATTTATTCGCAATCCAACCTTCTTTCCTACTTCGTTCAGTTCCTTCAGCATCGTCTCTGCTTCAGTGATACTGCTCGAGAAGAGGACGATGTCATCCGCGAAACGAAGGTTGGTTAGGAATCTCCCATCAACTCGTATGCCTCTCTCTTCCCAGTCCAGTGACTTCATCACCCGCTTCAAGGCCGCGGTGAACAGCTTCGGCAAAATAGTGTCGCCTTGTCGAACCCCCTTCCCAATTGGAATGGTCAGGGGGCGTTGGAATAGCTGCATCGCTGTTGTACAGTCCTTGTAGCAGTCGGCTAATGTCCTCACGTAAGCTGGGTCCACTCCTTGATCGACTAGAGCTGACAGGATGGCGTTGGTTTCGACGCTTTCAAAGGCTTTTTCGTAGTCGACGAAGGTTAGGACGAGAGGCAGTCGGTACTCCCGGCAGACTTCTATGACCCTCGAAACCGTCTGGATGTGGTCCATGCAGCTGAATCCTTTGCGAAATCCAGCTTGTTCTTGGAGTGGGCTTCATCCAGTGTCCTAGATATGCGTGCGAGGATAATCTTCGTGAAAAGCTTGTACAGCACAGCAGGCAGCAGGCGTATCGGACGGTATCGAAGATCCTCCCGTTCTTGACGTTCTCCACTGGTCGGGAATCCTCTCCTCCTCAAGGTAAGATGTCAGGTGCGACGCTAGAATCTCGTGTAGACGGTGTCCTCCGGCTCGCAGAAGTTCGACGGAAAGATGATCTGGTCCTGGAGCCGTGGACGTCTTCATGGTCTGTATCGCGATACGTACTTCAGCAGGTAGAATTCGTGGTGGTACTTCTCCAGTGGGAACAACGGGCATCGGCACGGGTGTTGATGAGCGGAAGAGGTTGGTGTAGAAGTTCTTCGCGATAGATTCCATCTTGTATCGGGAAGAAGTCGGACCGCCTTTGTTCAATAGTGCAGCCAGCGGTACGTGATATTCACAGAGGTCCCTTCGGCACTTCTTGAGACTTCGTCTTCCTTCGGCTGCTTCCAGTATCTTGGCTTGCCTGTAGTTCCTGAGATCCTCCTGCAAAGCTGTTCTGCAACTGGCGTTGGCTATCAGTCGCTCGAGATGGGTTGCATTCGGATCCTTCCTCAGAAATCTTCTTTCGAGAGATTCTTTGGTGGTCTTCGAAATACGTTTCAAGTTCTTCTTAGAAGTCACTGAGGCACATTCTCCGCAGGCTCGCAATCCTTTCAGAAGCCGGTCGTAGTCGTACGTTGGGTCCTTCTCGATGGGCCAGTCACATCTTGATATGAGCTCTTCCAGCCTGTTACTGTCATAAACGACTTCCTTCCTTCTCGCGGCACTGTGGCAGACTTTCTTTTCCAGCCTTCGGCTGAGTCGTATCTTCGCTCGAAGGAGGCGGTGATGGGAGCCACTGCAGAAGGAAACTACTGAGACATCGAGCAAGCTCCACCTTCGGTTGGTGAAAATGTGGTCGATCTCAGCGTGAGTCGTTCCGTTGGGCGATTCCCATGTCCACCGGCGATGTTCTTTCTTCAAGAAGATGGAATTTCCATGGAAGTGTTGTGCGGCGGAGAGAAGCCCAGCGAGACGGTTGCGTTTTCGTTCCTGAGCCCATATCCAAACTTCCCGATCCTATATTCTTTTTCTAATGGCATCCCGATTTTCGCATTGAAGTCGTCCACGACACACTTGTAGAAGGACTTTTCGTTGTGGACGACCTCCTCCACGTCTTCGTAGAAAGTATCTAGTTCTGAGTCGTCAGCTGCTGATGTTGGAGAGTAGCAGGTGATGATTCTGAATGGTTCTTCTGACGTGGAGGGCGTAGTCGTAGGATGGCTAGTCGGGGTGATAGGATCTCGTGCGAATCGACAAGATGGACGGTAGATGGGTGGACGACAGAGCCAAAGCCTCCCACGTTTCGTGATGGAACCTTCTCACCACGAATGATGAGCGTTCCATCCTTCATCTGTCGCACGTCCTTCTTCCTGGACTTCGTTTCCTGCAGAGCGATGATGTGGTAGTTGATGTGCTCTGCAGCGTTGAGAAGAGCGTGGAGGTCGGCGTTTGTGGAGGCTGTCCTGGCGTTGTAGGTGTAGAGCATGAGGCAATCTCCATGGCGTTTTTGGGCACACGTGTCGTTTTTGTCCAATTCGTAAGGCGCCCTGAGTGCTCTGACATCGTTCTTGCTACCACTCGGCGCCGTAGGCGGGATCCGATGTGCAGGGCTTCTTTCTCTTCTTCTAACTGATAGAGTAATGAAGTTTTTCCCCTACAAGAGCAGACTTACTAGGCCAACTCTTGATTTCCACGGGGCGATCGATGACCGCGGGCTTGGAGCGGGGAGAACCGCCTAGCGACCTAAAACCAGACGGCGGTGGATCTGGCCTGGCCGGCTCTTAGCTAGGCATCCGGCCGAAACCGCACTCGGCTGTGCATCGCAGTTCGACACTCAGTGTCACCCCCACGCCACGATGAGGCGGCCGGCCATTGTGGGGGGGGGGACCGAACTATGGCCCAAAAATTTATGAAAATTTACGTGAATGAAAACTGTGCAAAACTTTTTCCTGAATTAGCTGGCACCGTGCCAGCTGGGTGCCAGCTGAGCTGGCACCGACACTTTGCTCACACAAGTTTTCATACTTTTTTACATAAAATGTATCTACACTGTAAAAGTTTACATACAGAGAAGAAACAATTTCATAATGTTTTCTTTTAAGCGTTTTATAGCCATTCAAAAATTACTCGGTCTTCGCACTCAAAAATTGGCTTTTTCTGCCTATCAAGATGTGATTCAACCACTTAAAAAGCTCAGAAAGCTGTGAAAAGCTGTTCCATGAAATGAGCATGCATAAAAACCCTAACATACTTTTACATAATCTAAAAATAATGACGGATCTACAAAACAGGTTAAAGGGGACTTCGTGCGAAATTTTTAAGATCAAACGGGACTTCGTTTTAAAATTTTTCTGGTGCCAGCTCGTGCCGAGCCCTGTCCGGGCTGGACCGGGAAAACCAGTTACTATAACATAAGGAGCGATTGAAATTCAAAATGAAAATGATTATGAATGCAGAATAATGAAAAACTAGACAACTCTTTTAATTTCAAATGGCATGTATTATTACTTTCTTTATTGCAATCGCTAATGATATTTCCAGTGTCGACAAAGAGTACAACCAAGGAAACTACTACAGCATCATCAACGACTTCGGAAAGACCTTTGACTTCGGGAACACCAACGACTTCGGGAAAAGTCGCTGAAACTCAGAGTGAGTCGTTTTGCTGCCATAGTGATAAAAAGACAAGACTCTTCTCGCACAGTTAGATGCAGCAATCAAAAGCTCTTTGGTTTTTCGTTTTAAGGTTCCATAGGCTCAAATGTTTGCAAAACGCAATGAGGAGGCTGCATGATCCTCAGCGGCATGCTTAGGTTACATAGTTGGTCCACAGTACAGGCGTTTACGGGAGCTGCCGGAATGGCTGCACTAAAACCACCTTGTGTAATTCAGAGATGCTCTAAGATTTGCAAAATACATGGCAGCCGCTTGGTGCTGCTTAGCGGAATACAGAATCGAAATGTTATGTTGATCAAGCATGTTAAGTTGTAGCGAGAGTAATTTCACATTTTCTGAGTGAGCGCGCCATATTTATTAGGTCATTCCGAAAGTAATTTCGCTTTTTTCAAACGGGCGCCACATCTGATGGAACAAAGTTTTCCAAGAGATCTTGGTAGCATTCGAAACAGCATTTCATTCTCTTTCTAATGCTTATGAAATTTTTGCAATACAGTCAATGAGCTTTCAGAAAATAACCAAAATCTGCGACCTATGCTTTTTGAGATAGTCAAGTTTCACAATTTTTTAAAAGTTTCATATCAATTCTCAGAAGAAGTTCAAGTGACGGTTCGATAGAGCAAACCTCATAGAATACAGTGCAGCTTTTTTATCTTTTCCATAGCTTGTCATACATTTTTAACAGAATTTTAACTGAGCTACCGATTTCCATACTTGCACAGCTAAATCCTAGTAGAACATCAAACCTTGAGCAGCTCGGGTGTCGATCGATGCAGCTTTTTCTCCTCTTTCTGATGGGTGTTTTTTGTTTCCGATTCTTTTAGTTTCCGGGGATAAAATCATCATAACTCATTCTTTTAGGGAGCCCCAGGCTGTACCCGAAAAACTCGAAATTTGATATTTCGAACCCGTAAACCCTCACTTGCTTTGTAAAATTAATGCTACTCATAGTACCATCTTGGTAGCCCCAAATTCCGAAAAATTATGACTGTTTGATGCGATTGTGATTGAAGCGGGACTGCCAAAATTCGATGGTTCTGCTAAAAAATCTTTTGAAAAATTACGGCGAGCTACGGGAAAGAGAAAAAATTAGCAATGTATTCTATGAGCTTTACTCTATCGAATCGTTACTTGAAATCCTTCTGAGGATTGATATGAAAGCTTTGAAAAATCGTGAAACTTGACCATCTCAAAAAGCATGGATCGCAGATTTTGGTTATTTTCTGGAAGCTCATTGACTGTTTTGCAAAAATTTCATAAGCGTTAGAAAGAGAATGAAATGCTGTTTCGAATGCTACCAAAATCTCTTGGAAAACTTTGTTCCATCAGATGTGGCGCCCGTTTGAAAAAAGCGAAATTACTTTCGGAATGACCTAATACAACATTGAAGATTTGAAGGAGAATTTCGATGGATTTTTTGCAGTTTTTGGCCCTTTTCCAGCTGGTTAATTTGGCATTGCGGTTAGGCCAGTGGCGAGCAAGAAGAGCGATTGCTGGTGGCAATATCTATGCCCTATCCATCATCTAAGTTCATGCAAGGCAAAGATTCAGAGCATTTCCTTTTTATGTTTTCAAATCGACTGGAGAGTTGGAGAGACTTTGTTCGCTCGAAAATAATGTTTAATACTTTGAAGTACCGAAACAGGGTCTCAGGTGAAAATTGGGGCAGTTTATTCCTTCAACTGCTTCTTTGCAAAACCTCTCGGATCAGAGCAAAACTTTTTGAGCATAGCATCCATTCAGCTCTACTCATTTTCATTGAGTTCTCAAGTTTTTCTCTGACACCGAAGCTTATTAACGTTGACGAAACGAGCATTTTCAGCTGTCTTGAGGGACAATGCCTTTAAGAATACGTTGAAAATTTTTGATTGAAATCACACAAATATATCATACCTACAGTAATTCTAAAAAGGGTCGGGAAACGTGAGAGCAATTAGTAGATTCGAAGGTGAGAGAACTTTTGAAACAAGTATTTTCCGGAACAGGTCATTTCAATAAGGTTTGCGCCATGACCCATCATGTAGTCGCATTGTTCCATGTGGCAGTCATTGCATGACTCACCATGTGAGTCAGTTGTCGCCAATGTTTGATTATGGAAGCTAACGCTATAAAATTTCTTGTAAAGATTTGAAATTTGACAAATATGGAAAAGCTCAGTAAGAGTATGCGTTTTTCAAGAAGGAGATGCGCTTTCTGCGCTGACATTTGATGATGTCTTTTCCTCACCCCAGTTCAGCCAACAAACTCTCGAAAAATTTTCAAAGTTTGGACCCCATGGAAATTCACACGTTTTTCAGTCTTTTAAAATTCTTGTACTTATTTCCCGAGGATCCGATTAGCAGACGGATAGAGTGAACCTTGTAGCCGGGAGTCTTCCTGAAGGGGTTCAAAAATCGTTAGAATCGTTTCTCCAAAAATGCTGACATTTAACAAGCAACGAATCATAAGTGACTGCTTTTCAGTCGTAGAATATTTTATATCTCCCTAAGGCCCCGGTCAGACTTCACGCGACTTAATCGTCGCGATCTAATCGCCAAGATTTCCATTCATTTTCATTTCACATTCAAAATTTTCGGGCTGGAAAAGTATCACAACCGAATGCAAGTTGATCGGCATGGAATGATGTTGTAACAGTTGTCTCGTCGCGACTCAGTCGCGACGAGACAACTGTTACAAGTCTGAAGTCTGCCTGGGGCCTAAAGCGACATTGACAAGCTTAAATCGCTTTAAATTTGCTAAGGCAAACTCACGAACCAAGGCTTTTTAAGAAAAAAGTTCTGCTCAAAAATTCATTAGAAATCTGAGAGAGAATAAGCGTCCTTGTTTGTTAGGAATACTTCTTTGCCTATTATTTCATCTTTGCTGAATATGACAAAACACAAAAAAACTGGGGAAGTGCCATTATATCGGGCCGGAGAGAAAACAGTGTTTTTTACGCTCCTCAGGCATTGCAACAGGAAGAACTCCACAACGTGCTAGATGCACATCCCAAAAACGTGTGAGAGAAACACTTTTTTTCGAAATCTTGACTTATTTATCATTATCTAGTTGTAAATACCTCATGGTATTTACAAGTAAATATGGTGTGCCACCAATACCACAACTTGGCAGGATGATGTTTGGCTATGAAATGATGATGTAAAGACTTAATTAGGTATATAAGATGTTTAAGGCTCCGGGGCCCATTTTGCAACTTATACTACAGCATTATTGTTGTTCAAAGTGCGATTGGCTCCATAAAAAATCGAACTTCTCTATTAATGTTTTTTTTGTCAAATTCAAATACTTCAGCGTCAACGAAGGATACGATTATGAGAGCAACAGTCCCTCCACCGACATCGCAACCAGTCTCTCCACTACAAGGTATGGGTCATTTATGAAATCGTGGCAACGGATCTGACTGCCGTCTTGCGCCCACATGAGGACAAAACGCTTATACAAAAAGATACAAAAAGACAGCGCGGTTACTTCCACCACTACCATATGTAAGCGGTAAAAATTTGAGTACGGATAAACGACCACGAAAGTGTGGTTGCCGGAAGTGCGTGCAAGTCGCGGCGGTCGCGCCATATTCACCATTTTTTGAATGCCCTGAAGGAACTTTTCAGCGTCAACGAAGGGTACAACCATGATAGCAATAGTCCCTTTACCGACATCGCCAACAGTCTCTGTCTCTCCACTAGGTAGAGTTTTCTTTCTCTTTTTTTCTTTCTTTTTTCAAGGTAAAGGCTTTCTTATCTGTTCAGAATAAATAGATTCAATATATCAAATCCTCACTCATTTTCATTTCTGTCGGAGAAGTGGTGTTTATTGCACGAATTGGTCTTTTGCGCAGCTGAGAGCTTCAAACAATAGAGAGAGCAGATGGCATACGCAATGACAAGGATGGACTATTAGGGTTTGCGCGTAGTAACCCTCCGGGCGAAGTTTGCCCTCATACTATGGTTTGGCCCCTTACGAATGCCTAACGTATCCGCGCTAGATGGCATGCCGCATGAAAGTTTGTTAACTTGTGGTTGGCACGCAGAAAACTCACTGGGTCAAATCCCAAACACGTTTGTGACTTCATTCCACTTACCGTATGCCTACCGTAAGCCTTCAAAATGACACCAGTGTACGGAGCAGATATACCGTCCGTAGTTAGTGCTCCGAATAGCCCAATGTACCAAGTTTCGGCTCTATAATAACAAGATAAAAAATGAATCACATATTCGTGATAAATAACACCCTGTGAGCTGAATAGGCGAAGTGAAGGACGAAACGTTTATTGCATAGAGCGATCAGCAGAAAACTGAATTCTCCCTCGACTTATATACCATGCATATTCGATGCCGAGGAATACAAATGAATCGTTAGTGGCCGAGGATGCCGGCCTGATTTTCTGTAGCTTTACAGAAACTCCCCACGAGGGAGATGCACAGTCAAGAATGTTTGTGATGATACGAAGGAAGAAGAAACTTCTTGTAATACAGTAAGAAGGTGCATAAGAGGAGGAGGACGAGTACAATAGGGAAAGTAATCGTTTTCAAATTTCGTACAATGATTTTAAGAACATACAAAAGGAGACTTTCGAATTGATTATTCATTGTGTCCCAGTAAGTGCTGCCTTTGGGATTGCCAGGTTGATTGTCGGCTAGCGAGTCGTCCTCAAGTGTGTCGTCATTGATGTAGTGTAGGCGTCCATAAATTTTTATAGAACTTTTCCCTTTGGGGCAACTGAATTCACAGTCCACAGAAACAGATGAAGTGTTGAAATGAAATCTCAGCTTGTTTAGAAAACCATTCTTTGTGCACTTTGCTACTTGATTTTCGTTCGGGCACAAGACATAAGCTAGCGTGTCACCTTCCATGCTCCTGCATGATAAACGAAGCTCAGCACCGCTGATGCAGCTGTAGCACCCTACAAGGTCGCTTACTTCTACTTCGCAGGAGGTATGCGTTTGTCCAGCAGTAATTTTCATGTTTTCGGCAACGACTGAATTTGTAGCGCTGATTCAACCCTTGTTTTCGCGTATATTTCGCCTCTTTGACTGAAAATCGCATAGGCTTTAGAGGCTTGAGGTAACGGAGCACTTTTCATGAGATTATGGACGTTTCCTGTGCTGCATATGCAGGACACTTTCTGTAATCCATCAGTGCATGTGCATGCTCTACTACTAAAGGTGCAATTGAAGTCCTTTGCGTGGTTTTGGGAAGCACATTGAAATTGGCCAGCGCTCTTTGGAGTCAGCTGCCCTCTGTGTGCGGGTTCAATGATGGAAGTTTCCTTTCCTGTTGAAATGAACGCCGATGAGAGTATCGGTAGCTGTGGACTAATGGCAGTTGTGAGAGTGAATCTCAGATGATTCCAAAGGCTTGCTTGTCCTGGGTATAATCTTAGGACTGTAGAGGAGGTGTCGAAACCGTCTTGTTGAAGTGTTACAGCGGCGTTCACGCCTACCTCCCAGCTGGGGCAAGTAAATATGCGGTAGATGGTCTCACTGGTAGGGACGGCGTAGATTCTGTAGAATAGGCAACTGGGCTGGCACATAAAGCAGCCTTCACAAGTGAGGCATCCACAACTGGATGAGCAATATGTATATAAACAAAGAAATAGCAATATGTATATAAACAAAGCAATATGTATATAAACAACTGGATGAGCAATATGTATATCCTGGGTGTTCATTGGCTATCCTTAAAATTTCCTCGAGTTTGTCCTTTGGTGAGCTGTTATCGCATGTATTTTCTTGGCAACTTCCGGCCAGGTAACATCTATGTATCGACTCCGATTTCAACTGATGATCTCTGCTGAAGAATTCAAGTTTTCGGTGACATTTGAAGCGTATTCCATCAATTTTGATGGATAGAGTAGCAAGTATAACGCCGTGATGATTTCTGATCGCAAGGCATGTTTCCTGTAGCAAAGGTTGAAGGGTCAGGACTGTTGCTTCATCGTAAGTACACGTCTCAGAGCCGTTCGAAAGATGACAGACTTTCTCAGTAGCCGTAATGGAAGTGACTTGTGCGCACTCTTGTGTACATTGTAATTCGAGTAGGGAAACGAGGATGCAAAGCAACAAACTCCTTTTTCTAGTTTGATGCCGTCGGCAGATGTATGGACGGACAGTAGATCGTTGTCGTAGAATTTTTGGTAGGTGACGAACCGGTAAGAATTTCCCAATGGACGAACATGCACATCTTATGAGAAGTTTGGAAAATTTCCAAAGTAGAGTGGCAATCTTGATGGTCAAAAGTACCCATGGTAATAGAAGCGAAATCTTATATATAAAGCTGAATGTCTGTTTGTCTGTATGTCTGTCTGTATGTCTGTCTGTCTGTCTGTATGTCTGTGTGTACGTATGTTCCGAATAGAAAATTCCATTTCTGAACCGATCCGGACCAAACTTGGCACACATACACTTCGGGCCCCGGTGGGTGTCATAGGCTACTTTTCGTCATCGATCGATATCGATTTTATCGATTTTTATCGATTTTTTTGCTGAGTTCACCTACGGGGCTGGGAGTTGGCACAAGGGGGTAATCGAGCATGGGGATTCCGAATACAATATTGGTTTTCAGGATTATCGATTACTTTTATCGTATCGATTTTTTTGCAAAGTTTGAGCTACGGGGCTGGGAGTTCGCACAGGGGGGTAATCGAGCATGGGGATTCCGAATACAATGTTGGTTTTCGGGATTATCGATTACTTTTATCGATTTTATCGATTTTTTGAAAATTTGAGCTAGGGGGCTGGGAGTTGGCACAGGGGGGTAATCGAGCATGCTGATCATCCCCAAGGGGGGTGATCAGCATGCTCGATTACACCCCTGTGCCAAATTCCAGCCCCCTAGCTCAAATTTTCAAAAAATCGATAAAATCGATAAAAGTAATGGACGATCTTGAAAACTAATATTCTATTCGTAATCTGCATGCTCGATTACCCCCTGTGCAAACTCCCAGCCCCGCAGGTCAAACTTTACAAAAAAATCGATAAAATCGATAAAAGTAATCGATAATTCTGAAAACTAATATTGTATTCGGAGTCCCCATGCTCACTTCCCCCCCCCTGTGCCAACTCCTAGCCCTGTAGGTGACTCTGCAAAAAAATCGATAAAAATCGGTAAAATCGACATCGATCGATAACGAAAAGTGGACTGTGACACCCGCCGGGGCCCGAAGTGTATGTGTGCCAAGTTTGGTCCGGATACGGCGGAGCCGGGTAAGCCAGCTAGTGAAAAATATTCCGGTAGCTGCAAAGGCTATCTCTGTTAAAGTCCAGCACTGTGAGTTGTAGAGCTTTTGAAGACAAAATGTGCATCTCAGCATCTCGCATAAGGGATGAGCTCTGCAGTGTGCCTTCGTTTGATAAGGTCTCGAAGGGGTCCAGATAGTTAGTATGACCGTATAGCCGTATAGAACGATCGAGTTTGGGAACACTATATCATGCGAGAGAGCTTATTCAATGAAAACGCAGTACTGTTCTACACAAGCTTCGATAAATTCGTATCTGGATTTGATCGTCAGCGATAGTCCTCCCTTCACACATTCAGTGACGAGTTGTAAGTCATTTGAGGTTTCTTCCGTAGTGTTCGATATGAGTAGTATATCATCCGAGTCGTTCATTTTGTTTACTATGTTGCTAGCAAACCCATAGTAGGTTTTTGCCACAGACCCCCAGGCCTCGATCGGTATTGTTAGATTGCTTGTAGTGTTGAGGATCAGCATTGTCAAGGGGTTGTCATAGATGCAGAACAGACGTGCTCGTAGATGGCATTTGTGTCTCTTGCAGAACTGGGATGTTCCTGTGATGAACTTCGTTGCTTGACGCTTCCGACCCCCTTTGTCGAAGCACATGAAGTCGTGCTCGTTGACATAATCGCGGATGTTTATCACTAAGCTTTCTATCAACAGTAGCTCGTCATCGTATAGTTGTACTTGATTGAAGAAGCCTAGTTTCTTTGTTGTATCGCATGAGGAAGAAAATTCGAATGAACACAGGTATTCGGGTTGATAATGTAGGACAGAAAGTGGTAATTGTTCATGATATGATAGCGTTGTGTATGAGCTTTCGCTAAAGGAACATGCGGATGCCCATGCAGGACAATCACATTTTTCTCCGCATAATGTTGACGAGTTGTGTGAGAATCGTATATGACCAAGTGGGCACAATACTGGGAACCAACAGAAGGTTTTACCTTTAGCATTGATTCGTGCTACGACGATTCCCTTTGGTACGCAAATGGTTGCATACAATATCGTTTTCTCTTCCATAAGGTCGTCGGAACAGCGGATGTAGTCTGTTTCGACCAATAAGTGAAAATTTTCAAAGTTTGAGAGGTCGTTATCATAGTGCAAAGGAGCAAGCTGAGACAAAGTAGGGTGGTGCTTGCCTGTAAC